TTAGTGGCAGGGGGGGGGGGCTGTTTACGACCCCCCCTTGATATCTCGAGATCTAACGGGCCGATTTTCAAAATTCAAACGGCATTCGATTTCGCTCAACGTGATCTACATTTCTAAAAAATAAAAATTAAAAAATGTCAATAGGGGGGTAGAGGGGGGTAAAAACGGGCAAATTGCAGATACATTTTAGACTGTTTATTACGGCCAGGTTTCTGAACCAATCTTAACGCAACTTTTGCCGATCGATAGAGAATGAACCAGGAATTCACATGGATCCTAAAAATATGCATTTTCAAAAATCATAGGCGGATACAGATTATTGAGATTGGGGGTACACAAAAATATTAGTAAATAAGGTTTTTGTTGGTACTGTTTCTAAAAAGGGTGGTAATGGTCTTGTTATGTTACAATTTTCTTATGAGAGAACGACTACAATTGTATTGGTCATGCATAGGCGGTGTCAGGGCACCTATATTGGGAGGTAAAACATAACCCCCCTTTTTGGACGCCTGGATCCGCCTATTATAGCAAAAACGTGTCAAAAGAGGATGCACAATAACTGTATATGTTAGCACATGATGCCTTTCATTCACTGTTCGTAAAACTAGTGCAGCATCGTGATCTTCGCCCAAATGACTCGCTTCACGAATAGGACCCCCCAATTCCCAGTGCTCTGGAGCCGCCCCTGGTAAAGTTATGAACTTGAAATGTTCAGGGAATGTGCCCAATTTAGTTTTAGGAAAAGTCAGAAAATTTCAGCATCGTAGCTTCAGCAGTTTCGGAGATATTCCCGAAAAACCTGAGGGGTGGATGAAAACAACCCCCCCCCCCCCCTGCCACTAATAGGGTTAAAGGTTTGATGGCGCGACGACAGCTGGGTCATTTTACGCCCACACTTACGCTAAAACAACAGGAATCAGGATGCCAATGGCTGGTGATGATTCGTGACAGGTAGAGACGGATCGCACTAACGTTCACGAGCAGTGGCCGGCGTTAGCTAATGATGACCGGTCGCTGTAGTGTCTGGTAATATCCCTAGTGTTGGCTGGAGGCAGCGGGATGCTGATGGCCGGGGGCACAGTGTTACGACCCGCACCCGGCCGCCGCTGACCGCAGCTCTCTGCAGCCCAGATAAAGTGACTCCGTTCCACGAACCCCGTCGCCTCCAGTGGCGGAAGCTGTCAGCGCGGCGCCGAGGGCCTCAGACGCCCAAACGGTCCGCCCGGCCGTGCAGCCCAAATCTGCACATCATTTCTCTAATCCTCGGGAAGTTAGCAGGTAGCCCCGTAATGAGGCTCGTGTTGCCGCCGCGGATATAAAACAGGCCCTGGAGGGCTCCCGCGGCTGGCGGCGCTCAGACTCGAACAGTGCACTGGCCTGTAAATTATCGCTCCGAGTACATGAGCTGCTGATCAGGACGGCCCACTGAAGCTGATCAGTAAATAACTATCAGTGAGCATTGCCAAGGTTGAGTTAATTGATTGTTGCTGCTTGGAGACTATCTCGGAACATTTGGGTACCTATGTACATGTACATACGTACCATCTTGTAATGGTTCGTTATTGTGAGATGCGCTTGTCTAAAGCACACTTAGGGGAGAGTGAGGTAAGATGCCCACTGCCCAGGGTGGGAAAGACGCCCCACCCCCTCTAACGGGGGTGGGGCGTCCGTACCCACGACAGCCTGGGGGGTCGGATCCGACCCCCCCCCCTGTTATCTCGAGAACCAATGGTCGTATCGAGCCCCGCGGGGCGGCATTCGAAAGGTCTCTACGAGACCTTCCCAAAACACTCTTAAGATTTTAAGATTGAGGTCAACTTTCGGGTCAAGGTCAGGTCAAAGGTCAAATTCTGGGGTTTTGCATGATTAGGCTTACGGACAGCGGAATCGATAGCTGCTGCTCGACACTCACCAAAAATGACCTCAAAGACCTAGTGAAGGTACCATGTGCATATAGGGGTCATACTAAGTACGGGTCAAGGTCAGGTCAGGTCACGAATGGTCACGGTTTTCACTTTCTGCTACATGGGCGTGCGACACATGTTTTATGGCTTATTTTTCACGCCGAATCCAATGGTAATGGTTATATGTGACCCCAAGTCACTGTGCTGGTGATGGGTGTACATTGAAAGCACAAAAAATCGTTTGTAGTTATACCATACATAACTAAACGAGGGCTAAGAAAAAAAGTCAATTTTTCAACTTTTTATTTTTGACATAAAAATACACTTTACTAGGCGAGCTTTGTCCCAGGAATCTAGTGGTGCCATTTGTTTTCACATGCGATGTTCAGAAGTGCCTCTAATTCACGAAAATGCTTATGACGTCACCATGCCCTATGCATGTTGGAGCTATTTTTTACAATGTGGGGGTCAAAAATCAAGATAGAAAGTTGAAATTTGGGACATCTAATGTTCTAATAGAGCTCTATAACATATATTCCGTTTTTTGGAAACTCTCAAAATTTTGGATTTAATTACCTGTTTTCCAAAAAACATAGTTTTTGAATTTTTAGGGGTGAAAAACGCATTTTATGGAAAATCCGAGATACCCATTTTAACACGCGCAGTGGAAGGGTTGCGAGTACTACGCCCAGTGGAAGGGGGGGCGGATGTCGCCCCCCCCTAAGATCTCAGCTCCCACTTGAGCTAGAAAGACGAAATTTGGAGGGTAGGTGGGGGCCATGGGGAACTCTGTTGTGTGTGAATTTCATGACCCTAGGTCAATATCTTCAAGGTCAAATGAGGTCAAATGTGGTCAAATCTGCCATATTAGCAACTTTTTTGCGTTTACACGCCGATAACTCAAAAAGTTACCGGCCGATTTTTTTAAATGTTTCATTATACGAAAGAACAAACATTTGTGAGTATGTATGGTGAATTTCTAGATAATCCAACAATAAATATGGCAGTTAGAAGCCTGCTAAGTGTAAGATGTCGCCGGCTGAAGTGGCATCGGCCGACGCGGGAAACGCGGCAATCACAATTTTGTGTTTACACACTCATAACTCAAGTTGTTACCGGCTGATTTTCAAAATTCTTTGACCATATGATTGCCTGTACACTTCTCAGTCTTCTCACCGAATTTGACGCGAATCTAATATAATCAGCGGTAAGGAGCGCGATGTAAAGACGGAACCGTCCCGCCCCGGCACAGTCTACAATTCAGGCGGCGCGTAACGGCTAGCGCCGGCCGCCGCGCCGCCGCGGCGGCAGGATGTTTGACTTTACACCGCTATTACTAGAAAAGTTGTGAACCGATTTTCTTACTTCTTGCACGAGAAGATCCGCAATTCAATTCTGGACAGGTAGCCGAAATTTCACATTGATATTATGCTTTCGGCGCGAGTTATTGGCGAAAAACAGGAGGGGTGGGCGAAATCCGCCCCCCCCCCCTTCCACTGCGCGTGCTAAAGAACTCGTTGAGCTGCGTCTATTTTTGTTCTCAATTTGCAATTTGCTTCAAACCTTGATTTTTGGCGATTTTTTAAACATTTACCACTTTTTGACTGAAAACGCCATGTAGTTACATAACTTTAATCGATATATCTAAAAAAAATGCAAAATTTTTCTTAAAATTACACATGAGACGTCAAATTGATATGGGAGAAGGTATGCCAAGTTTCAAGTTGATAGCGTAAGCGGTTCATGAGTTATTCAAGGAAACGGAGGGGGGGGGGGTCGGATCCGCGACCCCCAGGCGGTCGCGGGTTAACCCGCGCCCTGCTGGGGGGGGGGGTGTTTGAACACCCCCCCTTGTGGTTTTTCGCGAATATCTCAAAAACGGCGGCGCGGAGCGCCGCCGTTTTTGGTATACCTTATCACACATCAATTCTACACATGTTGTGAAAATTTCAGACCAAGGTCATTCAAGGTCAGGTCACCAGGTCACTTGAAGTGACCTCACCTCATAAAAACTTTCAATGTCTGTCATAGCTACACCGAGTGACCGATCGCTTTGAAACTTTCAGCGATTGCTAAGAGCAATAGCATGTACAAAATGTATATCTCAGAATTTTGATATCGATGACCTAAGGTCAGGTCAATTTTGCGACCTCCCCATTATAAGTCAATGGGAGAAAATTGAAATGCGCTTCTTTTGGATGAAAGACATTATAAACACTCCCAAACACCGAATTACAAGTGGTTTAGACACACTGAACTTGAAAATGGTGTCCGTGACCCTTGTTTATGCCCTGAGGTCATCTTAGGTCACGAATGGTATCTATCAGTTTTTCGCAAATAACTTTTGATAGAGGCATGCTAGAGCGATGAAAACGCCTTAGATGTGTTCAGCTCGACGATACGGATCGACTGATATGCAACATGACCCTTTCCGGTCAGGTCATGACCTTGACCTGAGGTCAAATTTTCAAGTTGACCTTTCAAGGTCAAGTTATAGTTCATTCGATGCGTCTTGACAAGAGGAACACGATGCCGGTAAAAGTAAGCTCGTACAAGGCTTGGGTCAAAAGTTATTGCAGAAAAACTGTTTTCGAAAAAAATCGGCTATTTTTGCAGTTTTTGCCCCCTGCAGGCAAAACCGTTGACGTTAGGTCAAATCTGAGAGAATTACTCAGAAAGGGCGTTAATAGGGCTATCGAATGCGCTTTTCCGCGGCGCTGTAGCTCTATTGGTTCCCGAGTTATGCGTTGGCTTCTTGGAAATTTTCGACATTCGATCTGGAAATCGGCGAAATTTTGCCTTCAATGACCTCTGGTGACCTGACCTTTGACCTGACCAAAAAATTGACCGAAGTGATTTCGTCATTATTTTTTACGCTCTTTCGAACGCCGCCTTCCGCGTATCGCTACGTGGCCCAGGAGCCGAGTTACAAGGGGGGTGTTCAAACACCCCCCCCAGCAGGGCGTGGAAATCCAGGACCCCCAGCAGGGCGCGGGTTAAAGTGGATTCTTCATAACCAGGCAGCGGAATGTGACGCATTGATTTATAAGAACCTTTTCTTGTAGTGCATCCACTCACAATCAAAATAATAATCGATTCGATGAAATATTTCGCTTTTATTAAGACAGAACTCCGAGTTACGTGAATATAACCAATAAACATTGAACTAAATATTTCGCAGCTTCTCCAACCTAAAAATAGGCGACAGTTTCTGCCTCAAGAGTATACTCGTATACCTAACTATAATATATATGCTTCAGTTAAATGAATTCTGCGCACAGATTGTCTTTCCTAGCATGCAGAGTTGCTACTCCAGTGAAGCGACCTCTTCGTTCCTCCACTTCAAGAAGGCTTCACTCTCCTCCTCGGTGAAGTAGTTTCTCCAGTCGCCCACCATCCCCTTTCTCATGAAGGTGCCTTCCTCGGTGCCGGACACCATGCCGCTGTCCTCCCACTGGCGGAAGTTGGTGTCCGGATTCGCCTTCATCACTTCGAAGCTGGTGTTCTTCACGATATCGTCGACGTCGGCGTCGCTCAGGGAGACGCCCAGGAAGTCGGCCACCTTGCGGACGACCGAGCCGCGATCCTGGTGCATCTGCTCGTACGTGAGACAGAGCACAGTGTCCGAGTGCTCCAGGTAGCCCTTCACGTGCTCACGGTATGGGCAGAACATAAGAGCGTCCCGCATGAAACTGTCACGAAAGTCTGCGAAGGTGCCACGGTACTTGTGAACATTGATCATTCTCGAGAAATGGTAGAAGGAAACGCAAACATCTCTCACATCACGATGCACGTAGAGCACTTTGGCTTCACTCGTCTTAACGCTTTCTGGTTACGGAGCGAGCGAAGCGAGCGAAGTTTTTCCTTAGATTAACGGAAATTTCTGAGTATGAGCGGCCGGCCGGCCGGCCGGCCGGCCGTGCGGACGCTTTTGCGAGGCTTATATCTCAGCAACCACTTGACCGATTTACATGCGGTAATTTTTGTAGGGTAGCTTCATTCCTTCTACCAAGTATTGGACTATTCCCGATGCATTTTGGTGACCCCTTATGCACGTGCCACGTGCAAAACGAAGAGGTGTCAGTTTTGTAATTGTTGCAATATCTCGGTAACTACTTGGCCGATTGCGCTGAAAGTTGGCATGTAGGTAGGCACCCACTAGGCACTGCATATCCATGTGCCAGAGTTGGGGTGCTGCTGCACGTGCGCACGTGCAGGGGTCGTTTCCAGATCTCGAGAACGGCTCGACCGATTGCGCTCAAATTTGGTACACGGTTAGGGACCAGTTAGTAGGGTGCCGTGCACAAGTCAGTTGGGACCCATTTTGCACGTGCGCACGTGCAGGGTGCCGCTCCCAGATCTCGAGAACGGCTAGGCCGATTGTGCTCAAATTTGGCACATCGCTAGAAACCGGTCAGTAGGGTGCCGTGCACAAGTCAGTTGGAGGTACCCCCTCGAAATTTCGCACGTGCAAGACTCACCCCCTCGCTCGCTCCGTTAGTCGCCCCAAAAGGCGCTATACTGGTAGCATATGATAGTGCAGATGCGTCTTGATGAATCGTTGGTCCGTCATGTCAGCCCAAGATGCCATTTCCATGAGTTTTTCCTGAGATTGCATTTCTAGCAGAGGGAATCGGTACTCCAAGCAAGTCTTTGGTCCTTTCTCGCCAGCCATTGACTGGTGGTGGGTGACACGCCACACGATTTCCTGCAGCCAAGTGGTGCCCGACTTGGGAAAGCTGGCCACGATGATATCGGAGCTTCTGCCTCGAAACTGCTCCAACTGTTGCATAACACCCCATTGGAGATGAGTGCTGCTCATTGTGGCTCCACGGTACTTGAACGTGCAATAGCCGGGAAATTTGTAGTTGGGATCGCTCGGCAGTGAGTGCCATTCCTCCGGAATGGTGATCTCTTCTGGTGGTGTTGCTGGCTCAGTGGACATACTCTTAGTTCCGCGGCGCTGTTTATCTTCCAACGAGTGTCAGCCTTTGCTGTGTCACGCTTAGCAGTATTCAAGTCACCCACACTATGCAGTGTCACTTTTCGTACTTCTGCCACTGTATGATATGGATGCGTGATGCTCCGTTTGTCCCTCGGCACGCTTCACTCCGCTCTGCACCACACGGAGGTGAATCTAGAACTGAGTGGCGCCTGTCCAACGCCTCGCCTTGAGACCAGACAGCACATATGCGCTGCTGTTTATGAGACTCCTGTTCTGTCGTATGAGCGAGGTCTGTACTATACCAAGAAAAGAGGAACTAGACGGTTGCTGGAAGTCATCATACTTTTTTAACTTTTCAATGTTCTGTTTGCGTGAGTAGATGGATGCGTTGTTCGTCTTTCCCACACCAGCAATGACCTGTTTTTTTTGTTTTTTTTTTATATGACACAATGATAGCGCACAGGCAGTTTGGGAACAATAATTAAGTTAATTGATTGAGTGGGGCTGCGACACTAGCTTGTGTAAATATGGCATTACGTTACGGTAAAATTATAATATTATGTATCTACATAATTTGGTCTATCATTACATGTTTTGTTTTCCGGAACGGAAAAAGGTTGGAGTTAAAGGGACCCTCCCACCTTCAAGAAAGTTAATGAATTGGCATTAAAGTGATGTAGCTCGGTTCAGAAAGAACAAAAACGAATACCTACCAAATTTCACCGAAAAATATTCACCGGTTTTCAAGATGTTAGACTTTTACCTCTGTTTACTTTTTGGGATCTCCGCTGTTCCTAGCGACTTCATTTTGGAAGTGCGGCGTTTGCGGCAGATGTTGCTCGCAAATAGCATATACCACCACTGCTTCACAAAGATGTTAGTAATGCATAAGGTTTTGAAATCGTTAGATCACCGCTGACGTCACATATTCTAAGGGGGCATTCCAATGCATTAGCCCCTTAGAATCCGAAAACTGCAAGCTTGAAATTCCATATCTCCGAATTAAAGCATTTTTCGATGTTTTGAGTGCCCAAACCGGTATTTGCAGGCCATGGCCACTAATTTGGCTATCTCGACTCAAAACTAATGTTAAGGTGGGATGGTCACTTTAAAAATGAGCTGCATGCATAGGTATACTTAATAAAAGGCTGTAGACTGATATCTCTGAAAATGGCAAATCTTTCATTTAATATTTGTTTCTATTTTAGCTTTCGCATATTACCAAACTTAGTGATTTGCCCGTCTCCAGTCCACCATTCAAATGTAATTATCATTAGGTACAGTCACCAGCACTTGCTAGTTCACAGTCATAATAAAAACAAGACCACGCAGAATACCACCATAAATCAATATCCAGGACCAACAGAATATCATGCAAAACAAAAAGGGCAAGCAAGAGTCAAGAATCGTGTCGTTGCCGTGAAACGCATCTCAACCAATGGAATACTGTTTTTCCGGCAACAGCATTAGGACATTCCTTTGAACGGTAGAGTTTTAAATGCGCTGAACTTAAAGTTAACTTAGTGAGTTCACTTTAACTAGCATTTAGCAAATCAAAAGTGGAAGCCAAATTCAAAATCAGCGCCAATAAATATATCACATTTTACTAACTATAGGTATACGTGTAAACGCCTCCAAGTTCATCCTAGCTCATCTGAAATAATTATTCAGCCTTGTCTTCCTAGCAAAATTTTAATAAGTAGACATGGTTTGATGCATTGCAATTGTGTTGTTGCCTTCATCGCTCCTGTTCTATAAATATTTGTTCACCAAAAGTAAAGCCTGAATTGTTGAATACCCATCAACCTAGCATTAATGGCCACCCTCTAAGCTTCCGAGGAAGAACGATAGGTACCTAAGCTCGTTTTTTTCAGCTTTTTGTTAGGGGCCAGTCTGGGGTTGGTCGTATGAATGGCCAGTAGCGGCAATGTTTGGAAATTATTGTGACTAAGTCGCTTCTGTTAGTATTTTGGACGACACTTTAAGTGGATTCTTCATAACAAGATAATAATATAGGAGCGGAATATGACATAGGTATTGATTTATAAAAGTATATTGTGGTGCATACACTCATGCAAACAATAAACAATATTCGATTCAATGAAATATTTCGTTTTTATTTAAGACAGAACATCGAGTTACGTGAATAAAACTATTGAACTGTTTGGCAGCTTTTCCAACCTAAAAATAGGTGACCGTTTCTGCCTCGCCGAAAAGTACATAGCTATCATACATATTAGGTACATATGCATATTATGATGTTACAAAATGACCTTATGCTCATGATACAATTATATAATATCAAAATAAGTCCAAAAAGTATTATGATATATTTCGACTTGCGTCGTCTTCAGAATGTACATTTTCGGAATTGTCGACGAGCAAATTCAAATCCTTTCAAAATAGCGTGCAACATTTTTGTGAGATCTCTGGCTAACAAATTACAGTCAGGTCATACCTATAATAAATTTATAATATAATAACTTATAAAAATTTATCATAGGTATGACCTGACTAATTTATAATATAATAAATTCTAAAAATTCATTATAGGTATGACCTGACTGTAATTTGTTAGCCAGAGATCTCACAAAAATGCTGCACGCTATTTTGAAAGGATTTGAATTTGCTCGTCGACAATTCCGAAAATGTGCATTCGACGCAAGTCGAAATATACCATAATACTTTTTGGACTTATTTTGATATCATTTCATTGTATCATGAGCATCAGGTCATTTCATAACATCATAATATTAATAATTATGCTCAAACTAGCCATAGCTCACCTCCCACGAATATTACATATCCCGCGCCCCGCTGGGGGGGGGGGCAGAATCTGCCCCCCTCCCGTTTTTCGCCAATAACTTCTAAACGCGTTACGCCAGCGACGTCAAACTTTCAGTACCTTATCATACATCAATTTGACACGTTCCCTGAAAATTTGAACGAAATCCGTCGGAAAATTTTTGAGAAATTGACGTTTTAGTGACGTCATGTTCGCCATTTTCGCCTCAAAAACGGCAAAATTTCAAACGCCGCTAACATCTTCATTTTTAAAGGAATCAAGACGTAACAAAAAAGGTTATACGTGATTCTTCTTTGTCTATCAAATGGCCATCTCGGTTTTTTGAAAATTTTGGATTTGGGCCAAAAATTGTTCCAAAAAACTGACTTTTTTGGGAAAATATTTATAAAATCCAAAATTTTGAGTTTATCGAAAAAACCGGAATATATGTCAAAGAAGTGGTCTATGTGCACCTACATACCAATTTTTAGAAGAATCGGTTCAAAAATGTGGGAGTTATTCAAAATTTTATGACGTCACGACGCACAAATTTTTTGAAAAATGATTTTTTTTGGAAGTTCTAGACCTCGTACGGAAACAAAAATAGCACCATTCGATTTGCCGTGAAAAACTGCATCGGATAGACACCTTTTTAGGCCTTAACAACCAACTTTAAAATTTGACCTCACTTGACCTGACCTTGACCTGACCTCGACCTGAAATTCATCCAGAGGTGGTCCATATCACTTATTGAGTGTGCCTATTTAATTCCATGAGTAAAATGACCCATAAAACATGTGTCGCACATGCCCTTTTCTATATTTTGTTTTTGGTGACCTGACCTGACCTGACCTGACCTTGACCTTGACCTTTGAATGACATTGTGTGCAACGAATATTGTCTTGGTAGTCTAAGAACACGTTTTGGGCAATCAGTCTCAGTCCATTCTTCGGCAACTACGGTGCAAGGCCGATACTGTAGAAACTTGCATTTTGTACCCTTGACCTGACCTTGACCTGACCTCTGACCTACTTAAGCAAAAAAATTTGGGCTCTTAAGATCCGCCTTGTTGAGAGCTTTCGATTGCCGTTTTCCCCGTCTTTCTACGACAGGGGTCGGCAAATGGTGGGGCATGCCCCCTTTGGGGGTAATGGCGCCCTTCGGCGGGGGGTAATGAGGGCCTCTGAGAAAGCCTCATCTTTTTTAGAATTAATGGCTCCCTTGATGGGACAAACATCGCAACTGTTGTGCCCCAGGATTCAAAGATTAGTCGAGGTCAAACGCACAAAGCATGAACTGGCTGGCGCATGCCAATTTTCATGTAGCTGCTCACCATTCCGTACAGTCGTGGAAATTAACTGTCATGTACTAGCCGGCGCTCGTCTATTGGCGTTTTCACAGTCACTAACGCAAGGGAGAGGAGTCGTCCATTGCACCCTGACCTGAGCATCTCGGTCTCTGAGCTGGAGCTTTGCAGAAAAATTGAGCGTGTTGCCCATGAAGATAAGCAGCCGCTGCTACCCAATTTAAAGGTCGTTGGTCATTGGGTGACCTTCCATAGGTCAATAACAACTGCCGAGTTAATCGGGTCCTGCTGAAACTTCTTGAAGTGAGATTTTGTGGCCTGCCATGATCTCAAGAAAGATCTCACAAATCAACGGTTATTCGGGTTAAGGTCATGCCATTTTCAGGACAGATAAAAATGATCGGCTCGATGGTACAGTTTTTCGTGATCCAACCCTTTTAACGTGATCTATTCTCGAAAAATACCCGCTACCCCTATACGTATGGGGGTTAACCCGCGCCCCGTTGGGGCTCCTGGATTTCCACGCCCTGCTGGAGATGGAGGTTGAACACCCCCTACTAACTTGGCTCCTGGGTCACTAGCGAAACGCCGTAGTCGGCGATCGAAAGAGCGTAAGAAATGATAAAGAAAAAACTATGGTCACCTTTTAGGTCAAATCAAAGGTCAGGTCACCAGAGGTCATCGAACGTAAAATTTCGCCAATTTCCAGGTCAACCTTTGACAATTTTCGACAAACTGGCCTATAGCTCAGGAAAGGATAGAGCTACAGCGCTGCGGAAAAACGCATTCGATAGCTTTCTTAACGTTTTTTTCTGATCCCTGCCCTCAGATTCAACCGAAGATGGTTTAGCCTGCAGGAGACAAAAACTGCCAAAATGTACGTTGCTTGCTGATAGTTTTTCTTAAATAACTTTTCACTCGAAACTTGCAAGAGCTCACTTTTATCAGCATCGTGATCCTCCCGTCGAGAAGCATCGAAGATTTTGTTGCACATCAGTCGATCCGTATCGTCGAGCTGAACACATCTAAGGCATTTTCATCGCTCTGGGATGCCTTTATCAAAAGTTATTAGCGAATAGCTGTTAGATACCATTCATGACCTGAAATGACCTCAG